TCTCACATTGGGTTGAGATGTGGGAGGGGGCTTGGACTAGGGAATTGGATTTTGGGGCTCTCAAACCATGACAATCCTAAAGCATCAGAACTTTAGTATTCCTATTCCTGTAGGAAAAACAAAAACAGAAACTCATTTCTATTGTGAATTTGTTCTGAGCTTCACCACTTGAAGGAATAGTGCTTGCAGCCATTCAAAGATTGTTTCACATGCAAACATTTTATCTTCACATGGATCAGACAATATTTCACAAATAAGATTGGTTAGTAACTATTCCTTTGTGTTGGCGATGGTGATTTGGCATGCTTTTACCACCAATATATGGTGCTTGCATGGTGCACATCTAATTATTTATCTAATTACTAATGTCGATACATAGATTGGAGCATTGGGCTGTGATTAATTGGATGAAATTTAACAAGTCAAAATGCTGGATTTTGCACCTAGGATGGAGTAACGCCAGGCACAAGTATAAATTGGGAGAGGAGTGGCTGGAGAGCAGCCCTGCAGAAAGGGATCTGGAGGTGCTGGTTGACAACAGGCTCAATAGGACTCAGCAGTGAGCCCTGGCAACCAAGAGGGCAAACCGTGTTCGGGGGGGCATCAAGTACAGTAGAACCAACTGGTCAAAAGAGGCAATTATCCATCTGGATTCAGTGTTGGTGAGGTCTCACCTTCAGTACTATGTGCAGTTCTGGGCCCCACAGTGTAAGAAGGATGTGAAGGTCCTTGAATGCATCTAGAGAAGGGCAGCAAAGCTATTGACAGGACTGTAAGGAATGTCCTGTGAGGAATGGCAAAGGACTTGGGGATTATCTAGTTTGGAAAAAAGGAGGCTGAGGTGTGACCTCATTGCTCGCTACAGCTTCCTGAGTAGGGGAAGTGGAGAGGGAGGTGCTGATCTCTCTGGTATCCAGTGATAGGCTGTGTGGGAATGGTTCAAAGCTGTGCATGGGGAGGTTTAGACTGGGCATTAGGAAGCCTTTCTTTACTGAGAGGGTGGTCAAACTCTGGAATGGGCTTCCTAGAGAGGTGGTCAATGCTCCAAGCCTGTCAGTGTTTAAGAGGCATTTGCACATTGTTTTTGTGACCTTCCTCTGGGCTCACTCTAACAGGTTGTAGTAGGTTGACCTTGACTGGACACCAAGTGTCCACCCAACCACTCTATCCCTCCCCTTTCCATCTGGAAAAGGGGAGAGAGAATAAAGTGGAAAACAACTTGTGGGTTGGGATGAGGCAGTTTACTAAAGCAAAAGCAAAAGCTTGGACGTGCAAAAGCGAAGCAGAAAATACTAAGATTTATTCTCTACTTCCCATCAACAAGTGATGTCCGGCCACATTCCGGGAAGCAGGGCTTCAACAACGCCTAGTGGTTTCTTAGCAGGCAGCCATTGGAAACAATGAATGCCCCCCTTCCTGCTCCTTTCCTTAGCTTTTATATCTCAGTTGACATCATATGGTATGGAATATCCCTTTGGTTAGTTTGGGTCAGCTGGCCTACTTGGGTCCCCTCCCAGAATCTTTCCCTCGATTGGGGAAGGAATGTTACAGTGCTGATGCTGTGCTCAGCAGTAACCAAAACACTGCTGTGTTATCAATACCCTTCTAGCTACCAATGCAAAGCACAGCACTGTGAGGACTGCTATGGGAAAATGAACTCCATCTTAGCCAGACCCAATACACAGGTCCATGTCTTTCTTGTGCTAGGTTCTTCATGTACCTTGTTACCATCTTTTCTTGTAAGTTGGCTATATTCACATTCTTCATCTAAATGCCATAACTTTGTATTAAACTGGGCACTACCTTAAGCTACCAACACAAGAAACTGAGCTGTATTCAGTTTACTTAGTTGGCTTTTGTTTAGAGCTAGATCCATGAACAAGCAAGTTCTTGAAATCAGTCAGGAACTGTCAAGCTCGTTTTTATCTGACAGCAAAAAAGGATAGTCTCCTCTCAAACTCTTAGTTCAGTGTTGTAAATATTTGTTAGTTTGGTATGTCATTTCATTCACGGAGATCATGTATGAACGGCCAAGAAATTTTGAACTTAAGTGAATTTGAGAGAAAAAAAGACATCTGGCTGTAGAACTTCGGTCCTATAAAAATAAGAGGTGCTTAAGGTGAACAGTTACTAAACAGGGCAAACACTCATTCTGAGTTGTGTGCATAGCTTCTCCTTTGTGTTTTTTGCAGCTTCTGTAATAGATCTTCCTTCTGCATATCTTTAGGGTTCCTTTTGTTTCGGAAGGCTAAATGTACTGTATAATAAGTCTCAGAGTCTCTGAGCAGAGGACAGAAAACAAGTTTTGTGCTGAACCATCCTGTTAGATATATGGGTGTGCTTTTTATAGCATTTTAACTACTTGAACTGATTTAGTCAAATCAACCAGTAACGGAAAACATGAACTCTGTGTGTTCGTGGTTTTTTTACTTTGTGAGAACGTGTGTTTTTTTTTAAACAAGTATGTTTTTAAAATTGTTTCCTCATATAACTAAGAGGTGGCTAATGATATGATGAGAATGCTTGTTCAGTTGTTGCAGTCAAGTCTCAAAGTCTTTTAGGTTTCTATTAATACTTTTTGAGATATCTTTAAATTTCTTGCTGATAATTCTTATAAATATATTCAAAGGGAAGTTCTATTTAATTGGTCTTTTAATACTCAAAAATTGCAAATAGTATCTTTATTATAGCTATTTGCATAGAGGGCTTAATTTTTGAAAACTTAAAATTCCAACTGTTGTTACAACTGGAGAGGCATCTTTCCAAGGATTCAGTACAAACTTGAGTGTTGGAAACAAAACATATGTAGTCTTATTTTAATTCTGCCACTTCTGTCACATGATATATGTCCTTTTGCTTCTCCATATGAAAATCCAAATATTAAAATATTTATGAAAACTTTTAAGGTTAATTGCACTTTCAGTGCTTAACTCTTGTGTGACATTATGAAAATTAATTTTCAAAAGACATATGCCAAAGCTATGCTTGGAACATGCACATAATGTTAAAGAATTTGCTTGGATCCGTAGAGAAGCCTCAATTAAGTATTTCTCTGTAGGTGTGAATTTAAACATCCATAGATGAAATTCTGAATGTTTCTACAGATATGAGGGGTTTTATTATTGATAACATGCATATGTCCAACATTCTCTGACTGGGTTCTTTTAGATATTCCATGTGTAGAGGGTTTAATGTTTTAATACCAACTTAAGTTTCTTGTAGTGGGTTGACCCTGGCTGGATGCCAGGTGCCCACCAAAGCCACTCTATAACTCCCCTCCACAACTGGACAGGGGAGAGAAAATATAGCAAAAGGCTCATGAGTTGAAATAAGGACAGGGAGAGATCACTCATCGATTACCATCAAGGGCAAAACAGACTCGACTTGGGGATATTAATTGAATTTATTACCAACGAAATCAGAACAGGATAATAAGAAGTAAAATAAATCTTAAAAACACCTTGCCTCCACCCCTCCCTCCTTCCCAGACACTACCTCCTCCCCCCCAGTGGTGCAGAGAGACAGAGAATGGGGGTTACAGTCAGTTCATCACAGGTTGTTCCTGCTGCTGCTCAGGGAGAGGAGTCCTTCCCCTGCTCCAGTGTGGGAAACAGTTCTCCACAAAGTTCTCCAGTGTGAGTCCTTCCCACAGGCTGCAGTTCTTCATGGACTGCTTCAACATGGGTCCCTTTCCACAGAGTGCAGTCCTTCAGGCACAGAGTCACAAGTCCTACCAGGAAACCTGCTCTAATGTGGACTTCTCTTTCCACGGGTCCCTGCCAGGAACCTGTTCCAGCATGGACTTCCCTCAGGGTCACAGCCTTCTTTCATTTCGGGCATCCACCTGCTCTGACTTGGGTCTCCTTCATGGACTGCAGGTGGATCTCTGCACCCCTGTTGACCTCCACGGGCTGCAGGGGGACAGCCTGCTTCACCGTGGTCTTCACCACGGGCTGCAGGGGGATCTCAGCTCTGGTGCCTGGAGCACCTCCTCCCCCTCCTCCATTGACCTCGGTGTCTGCAGAGTTCCTCTCAGAGATTCCTCTTCTCTGGCCACAATAAGCTTTTTTTTTCCATCTTAAATATGTTATCGCAAGAGGCATTACCAACATCTCTGATTGGCTTGTCCTTGGCCAGTGGTGGGTCCATCCTGGAGCTGGCTGGCATTGGTTCTGTCAGACATGGGGGAAGCGTCTAGCAGCTTCTCACAGAAACCACCCCTGTAGCCCCCCCCCACTGCCAAAACCTGGCCATGCAAACCCAATACATAAAGTTATTTGACATTACGTGGGACTTTGATTTAGCAGAATGATACAGCAATTTACTTAATCACAGTCCAAGTACAAATTGCATTTAGTAGAGTATAGCAGTTGCAATACACAATTGAATCACAATACAAATGTGATTGTCATTACTAGTCTCCATGATGCTGGGCATCCCCAGTCTTTGGGAAGAAATATGTGGGTTGAAACCAACTCAAGCCTGTTGCTCTCTTCAATGTTCTTTCTGTTAGTTGTACAGTTTTTATACTATATGTGCTATACTGAGTCTTTATACTTGATTTTGGCTCTATACTGAGTTTTTATAATCAGTTTGGCTGAGCCATGTATGCACCTACCCATTCTGGTCTCACTAACTCAGGAATATATGTATTTGATGATGGTGATTATTATTATTATCAACTCAGGGGACACAGCCATTTGATTCCCTCAACTGTTGTAGCCATTTATCTATAACAAAGACTACCCTCTGTCTCCTTTGTATTAAGTTCAGCTTTTTGTAACAGTTGTCATCAGTAACTTCCTACTTCTTCACTTAGCTTCATGGGTACATAGTCCTTGCCTGTCTCCTCAGCCTTCTTCCACTGTAGAAACTCATTGATAAATCACGATGTGTTTAATCTTTTTTACTTGAAAAAGAGAACTTTTCTATAAGATACCTTTTTAACATTGTGTATAAACACATTTTATTGTTCAATAATTCCATCATTTATATTGTAGGTCATGCAGGAGTCTCTGCAAGCATGATGAAGAAAAGAACTTCCCACAAGTAAGTTGCTAATATCTTCCTAAAGTATAGTTTTCGATAACTGGGAGTACCATTCTAGAAATGTATCTGTATTGTTTCAGTCATTTTGAAAATAATATGGAGCAGTATTCAAACAATGTATGTGTGTAGAGTCAGACTTCAATTCTTTTGGGTGGACAGTGGGAAAGTGCACCATTGGTACAGTTCTAAACATCATTTTGAATGTTACTCTGAGAGAAATTATTCTGTCAATACAATTTTGTAATTTATAATTCAGAAACAAGAGATTGCAAGCCAGAAATTGGGCATTTGTACTCTAGGATTCATTACAGCTTTAGTTTTTTAAAAGGATTTTTTACCTTTTTTAAAAAATAAACAACATACTGTAGTACAGCTGCTATTTGTGTGAAGGTTACTTGCTTATCCTATACATTCATCGCATGTATTATTCTTTCTACTACAATTTGAACTAGTAGTAGCTAAATGTTGCTATGAGTAAATGTGAGAAGATAGAGGTAGTAGCTTAGACATAATTGATCTTAGTGAACAGCTAGACGTTGCATCTGGCTGCATCTCTGGCGGGTGAACTCTAAAATAAGCTGGGGAAAGGTGAAATTTATTAAAATGCTATTAGTTATATTTTGAGTATGAAGTCTTATAGTGCTGATATACAACAGGCATCAATCCAAAGCAATTTGTCTGGCAGAAATATCTTCTGTGATTAATATTTGAATTAGTATTAACTGTTTCCCAGACACAACATCTGATGTAAAACTACTCTAATTCTTTTCACCAACTCTTCACTATTCAGTCTTGTCTATCTCCTTACAAGGCAGAGATAAACATTCATTTGTTAAGAGACAGGTAGAGTTAAAATTTAATTTCTCTTGTTCTTTTTCAACCGCTCAGAGAAAGGAGTGTATGATGGGAAGACTATCAGAGGTGGGTTGCCTTTTGTACTTGAGGGTGGCTAGATTTGTCTTTATTGTTGTTTTGATATACACTTATTTAAATACTTAAATAGGTTGTATATTTTTTAGCATAAAGGCTTTTATGGGGCATATTAAGTCATGATCCTAAGTCATGTGATTTTGAGGCATTTAACTTAAGCGCCCGAGTTTTATATTGATTTAGTCTAGTTTAATTGTTTAAGAATTGTTTAGTAAAGGTTTTATTTTGTACCAAACCAAGATGACACTGTGCTGCTCACTGAGTTCTCTGAAAATGACAGACACTAGTATAGAGTTGTTTTTATTTGATATTCATTGCTTACATTTTTGAAATTAACAGTAAGTAGTGCTGTAGACATGTTTATAGTAAACAAGTGAGATATGAATCGCTGCTTAAAAATGTATGCTGATACTACTATGAGCTGTTACAGTAGACCATGAATTAGTAATGCATACTTTGTCATTGATTTAGTTATGATGACTTTTACATTCCTCATTTAAAGAAAAAGAGGAACAAGTCTACTGGCACTTGAAGGTCATAGGGGAGATTCTAAACTAGGTTCAGAAGTTCATAGGGGAGGGAAGAGCCAACAGGATGGAACAGGACATGGTCCAGTAACTGAGGAAGGGGTAAAATGAGCTGTGTGGACTTCTTAACTAAAATGGTAGTTAACCATTGACCCTTTTGGAAGGGGGTCCCATGGTTATAGGTCAGCTGCAAAAGGGCAGTTCTTCTGAATGTTCTGTCAGTGTCAATGGGTAGTGATGATCTCTGTGAATATAAAGTTGACCCTCTTTATGTTGTATCAGTCAGTAGTCTCTTGGCTCTCATCCTTTCCACACTTGGTGCATCGTGTAAGTATAAAATATTCTAGGAGGTTTCTTATAGTTGGCAATTCAAGGACTTTGAGGTGGAGGTTTTCTCTGCCACTTAACTATCCCTGTACTTATCCCTTGTGAATTTCTGATCACACTTTAACTTGTTGTGGTGGATTATACTTGACTATGAGCCAAACTCCCACCCACCTGCTCACTCCCCTGCCTCACTGAGGCAGGGGGAGAAAATAGAATTAAAAAGTTCATGGGTCAAGATAAAGACAGGAAGATTGCTTGCCAGTTACTATCACAGGCAAAACAGGTTTGACTTGTGGAAAATTAATTTATTGCAAATTAAAATAAATTCAGGTGGTAAGAAACAGGAAGACAAACATTAAAACAACAACTTTCTTTCCCCCTTTCCCATGCTCAAATTCATCCCTTCACTCCAGACTCCTCTACCACTCACCACCCCCAGAGTGCAGGGGAAATTAGGGAAGGGAGTTTACAGTCCATACATAATGGTTGCTCTCTGCTGCTCCGTCCCTCTTGTACCTTATTTCCCCCTGCTCTGGTGTAGGTTCTCTACAGGTCACAGTTCCTGTCAGGAAAGTCTGCTTCAGCATGAGCTCTTCCAGGGGAGACAGTCCTGTCAGGAAAACTCTGCTCTGGCATGGGTTCTCTGGGGGTTCTCCATGGGCCACAGTTCCTTCAGGAAATATCTAACTGCTCCAGCATGGGTCCTTTTTTCCCCCTCCTTCTCTGTCTGTCCAGTGGTGGGTTTTTTGTTCTTTACTAAATATGTTTTCACAAAGGCACCACAAACTTTGCTGATTGTCTCAACTTTAGCCTGAAGTGGGACCATTGCCAGGCCAGCTGGAACCAGCTGTGTCTGGCACAGGGCAGCCCCTGACTTCTTTTCATAGAGACTAGCCCTGCAGGTGTTGTCACGTCTCTGTGTGTATGTTGTGTCCATTACCAGAACCTTGCCACATATGCCCAATACACTTGTAATCCTAAGAAAATTGATTCCACAACTAAATGATGGCTTTTGAAGGAGTACAGAAAGTACTTTAAAACTTCTGTCTTTAGTAATGTGCCTCATAGTCTGAATATTAAGGAAAAATAGTTTATAACAATTGTGACAGTCTGTAGTAATATCAAAATTCTAATTTGGGCCCTATTTTTAACAATTTTTCTACATGGTACCATGAAATATAGAAATTGTACTGACCATTGCTACTCTGCTTCATTTGTACTATTTTCTAAATTTCTTTGAGCTTTCCATGATCTGGTTCTCCTAATAAAACTTTTTCACGTAACAAGACTTTACTTATCAGCTTAGTGCCTTCAAGATAAATACTCAGTCACCAAGACGAGTAGCTCCGGTACCAACATGATTCATAGCACAGGGGGGTGTCCTGAACCTGGAGAGCCATGAGAGCTGCCAGAAGTCTGCAGCTTGTGCTACAGCTGCTGACAAGACCTGGGCAGGGCCAGGAGAAATGCCCAACTCCCCCACCTCCATATAAAAGAAACCCCTAGGGAGTGCTAGTGACCAGGGCAAGCCAACAGAGCATTTTGCAGGTAAGGGCATTGTATCGGGACGAAGTTGGGATGTTATTTTTTGGTCTGTGTTTGGCCCTAGCCACCTGCAAAAGTTTATGTTTTCCCCTGCCAAGTCTGCTGATAAAGCAGTGAACTTGGCCTTGGAGGGAGAACTTCTGTGTAAACTGTTTTAATTGGTCTGTTGTGATTGGTCCATTGCTCTTCAAGGGCAGTTGGAGGACAAAGTGATGAGGAAGATGATGAAGGCCTCCCCCAGACTCAATTGGAAAAACCCCCCCCCCCAATTCACTGTGCCTGCGTCAGGGGATTTCCAAGGTGCTCACGCATGCGCAGGAGGGGTGCACTTACATAACAGAAGGGGTGGGATTGAGAGCCCCTGACGGGGCGGTACTGGCCACACCTCCCCGGGGCAGGTGCTCTCAATAAACTTTATAAAGGCAGACTCGTGTCCGGTTAGGGGTGGTTGGCTCTTCACGATGGATCAAGATGCTTTTAGCGGGGACGCCTGCTGGACGTGGGAGCCTCCCACCCCTCCGGAACACGCAGCTGCCGTAGAGAGACTTCATTACTGGTTAGGATGGGTAAGATTATCTTATAGGTGACACCTGGGTGAGTATGAGGTGTCGAACCTCCTTCCTAGGGTCTTTTGTGCACTTTTTCCTCCGCCCTAATTCTTTTCCCTCAGGCGCCTGTTTTTTTCCCCTTTTTTCCCTGTTTGCCACCTTTTTTTTCTAATAAATAGCTATTTTTTGCCAACTAGCAACGGTGTTTGGTTTATTCACATTCCAGAATCCCTCGAACCTGTTTTTCCCCTGATTTTTCCACCTTTCCCTGTTACAGGCATGCAGGAAGGGTACTGTAGCTCTTCCAACTTTACCAGGGAGCAATGGTATCCACCTGGCAGAAGTCTACGAACACTCTAAACTCTGCACCCAATATGATTGATGCAGCTTCCCAGGCAGAGCTCCAGTGGGAACATGCTGCTACCCAGGTGTTAGGCTGCAGGGCATGCCCTACTCTTATACCAGTACCAGACAGCAGCAGTGAGCACACCTGGGGGAGGTGCACCCAGGTAGAGGAAAACCTCTACTTAGTGACAGAGCTCCAGGATGTGGTGAGTAGGTTGTTAAGGAATAACAATGAACATGAGAGAGAGAGACTACTGGAATGTACCCTACCTTCCCTGGGGCGGAGCTGTCAGGCAGACAGGACATATGATATAGAAGATTCCCTATCCTGTCTCTGCTTGGCAGAACTCAGTGACTTAAGGGATAGGGGACAATGGTGACAAATTCCTGCCTAGTGTAGCAGAAGTAAGGAGGGGAGTTAGCAGAACTGCCACCTTGGACTTGCGGAGGGCACACTTTGGTCTATTTAGGGGCCTGGTTGAAAGAGTCTCTTGGGAGGCAGTCCTGAAGGACAAAGGAGTCCAGGAAGGCTGAAGGAAATCTTAAAGACCCAGGCCATCCCAATACGCTGAAAGACAAGCTGACAGGGAAGAAGACCAGCCTGGCTGAACAGAGAGCTTTGGCTGGAACTCAGGGAAAAAAGGAGAGTTTATGACCTCTGGAAGAAGGGGCAGGCAACTCAGGAGGACTACAAGGATGTTGGGAGGTTGTGCAGGGAGAAAATTAGTAGGACCAAAGCCCAACTAGAACTTAATCTGACTACTTGTCTAAATTTTGA